AGTCCTCAAAAAGCAATCTTCCTTAAAAATACTTACCACCTAGCCACTCTGACTTAAGTCCCCTAGTTAAAGTACAGATATTCTGAAGACAGTAAGTGTATTATACCATTACACTTTATCAAATCATTAAGAATCAGTTTATCACATTAGCATGATAAAGGGAAATCACAAAGAGGCTGTGTATAGTCTCCCTAATTCCTGTTCCTTTTCTTTTTTCCCTTCAAGCAACTAAATTAAGTTTGTTTTACTCAAAGAACTTTTGTATTAGTAAAAGAATTCATTTAGGAATTCGAGAAGTCCGACCCAAGCCAACTGGCGCCACGGTTTCACTGTGTGAATGTTTTTACTGTCTCTATAAACATCTGCCTTCCCGTAGTCTTCTCTATCAGGCCAATCTACTCAGCCCCAGAAGGCTGGAAGAGGGAGTATCGTGTTCATCGCTGAACCCTCTCCAACACTAAAAATGTCGCCGTGCACTTAGAGGAAGCAATCATCCAAGCTCTAAATGACACCTATTCAAGGCTCTGACCTTCTCTAGCAAACTGTGGTTGAAATTTCAAATCTAAAAATGTCATTGGATATTTAAGTTTGTTCTCATCTCAAACAACAATCCATTCATTCAGGCAAAAACCATGTATCAAGAGCCTACTATGTGCCTGGCTGGCACTGGCACTCAGCACCAAACTAGGAAAAAATGATCTAACCACATCATGAGAGCAGATATGCAGCAGATATTTAGTAAATGCTTATTAGATTTGATGAACTTGAACTTTTCTATCTGCCTAAATTTTGAAGAGTCTTTCATGATTGTTTTCTTCACATGGCAGTGGACTTTAGTTTCCTATATACTACGAAGCACCTGACTTTTGGGGACTTTCTTGTATCAGCACTCTAATCCTAATTAATGGTTTATTTTTGAACTTATGGAACATAAATCAGAAGTACCTAATAAGCTATACTGTAAAAGAAAAGGGAAAATCCACAAACTATGTGAATAACTGACAGTTAAAGCAGCTATTTCCTCTTACCTTCCTATTGTCAAAATGTAAGAAATACTCTTTTTTTTCCATATATGAAGATGCATTTTGTACTGTTGGTCCAGTAATGAAAACAACTTTTCTAAACTATTGCCACATTTCCCTTGCTGCTGCCTGGGCCAGATCATGAGGCTCTGGATCCAGGTGAGTTAATTGGCTTGACACATGACCAAAACACAACCTTGGCCTAGGAAGACCACACTCTGACAGCCCACTCAGCAAAGTGGACTAACGACTGTTACGCCCGAAACAGGCCAGCCCCCACCCATCACTGCTCCAGTGGGCTGGCCTGCAGCCAAGTTCAAGTTTTCCTCAAGTGGGAGCCAGATACCCATTGTCAAGAATTTAAGTGTCCAACCTTCCTGACCTTAACACAACCTTTCTTGGTACCTAAATATACCACCGGATATTATTTCTACCCTAGATGAAAAGTGTTTTTACTACTTTAATCAACAGTGATTTTCCACCCAAGTAAAAATCAAAATCCCTGCACTAGATTAATGGCAGGGGGAAAGAACTAAATTACTGACTGCAGACAGACATAATTTTCTTTTCATTAGCAAATACTTCTTCTTGTTCCTACTAGGTACAAGGAATAACAAAAGGTGTCAACAAGAGTCCCAACTGCATGGATTTTACAGCCAATAACTACACTGGGACGCATGTAGCATTTGGACACTCCTAGACATGAAAGTAGCTTTTCCCTTTAAGTTTAGGCTTCTCTGGTTGCTTATTTTCAACAGCATATGCATTTTTTGTCTGTATAGAAGGAAACCAAGAAGAAGGAAAAAAAAGATGGACAAAAGGATAGATCCTAGTGTCTGAAATGTCTAGCAGACACTAGAAGAACCTAAAATGTACAAGAATAAATGACGATTCTTTTCTTCATGCTGAATCAAAATTTCTGTAGTAAAGTTGTCACTGCATCGTAAGAGGCACCATTTGGTTCACTACTCAGAGCCTCCCCCTCCACATATGTTAGATGACCTGTATGGTCCAGTTCCTACCCGACAGAACTGACAGTTGTTTTATATACTACGCCACATGCTTATGCTTCCATTCATGAAGAGGAATGTTAAAAAAAAAAAACTTGAGAAAATTATTGGAAATACAGCACAACTAAAGGCTTGAGTAAATAGTACCACTACTGTAAAACAAAAATTACGTTGGTAACATACATTGCAATCCTAAATCACATATAATTTAGAAGTAATGTACTCCTGATGTACTTATGCTCTTATTGAAGACTATAAGAATCCAAGTTCAAAAAGAATGGCCAATAATCTACCTTCCTTAAATCATTTCACCTATTCTAGTACCTGAAATCTTCAGGTAATATACAAGAGGGGTTACATATGCTGCTTAATTTTCTGACAGTTTTAAAGAGTACTGTCTCTAATTCCTCTCTTATACCATCTTTCTGGATGATAACCCAAGTTTTATCTACTCAGAGGTATACAAGTGAGCTGGGAGGTTTGGGGAATGTATTTGCCAGGAAACAGGGTGGTAACCCACAAAAGAGGGCTTCTAGGCCCTCAGAGGTGGCCTGCAATATTGAGGCTTTGACCCTGACCTCACTACCTAAGCTTCCTACCCCCATTTACTAGGCACTCCTAATCACTTAACTTCTACTTTTTGTTTCGTAAGTATTTATCACTATCTAAAAGTAGCTCAGAAATTTATTGTCCAATCCCATGTAAGAATATAATCTGTATAGAGCAGGGCTTTTGCATGTCTTGCTGATCAACCCCAGCTTCCAGAATAATACCTAGCTCATACAAAATACTCCCCAAATTTACAGACTTAATGACTAACTTCTTACAAAACTCTAAAGAACTAGATCATCATGTACAGATCAAGGAACCAACTCTAAAGAATTGGATCATCACTTACAGATGAATAAACCAACTAGTGAAATCTTGGGGTCCTTACTTCTTAATCACTGGAGAGAAAAAGAAGAAAAATACACCTGCTCACCAACTCTAATTAAATTAGATATGAAAAACGGTGAAGGTTTTTAAGAGAAATAAACATTAATTTCTGCAACCACCTAGGAAAAACAGAAATTTCTGCTCCTTATGTATACTGAATCCTTGATCAATTTACAGAGTGAGAATGTCTGACTCCCTTGCCTACACCCCTTCAGCAGTTATCTCAGAGCTGCATTCTGAATGGACAGATCAAGAAGGGGTAATTTTGGTGAAGGGTGTGACAGTTTTTACAAAAGAGCAAGCAGGTCATATCATAAGCAAATACAAAACCCAGGGGTTAATGGTCCCTCTAATACATAGTCTTATGAAGTTGATTTTTCTCTGACCCCAGAGGGCTTGGCAATTTCAGTTTAATGATAGTATCATTCAGTCAAACAGTGAGTGTCAAACTATGTTACATATTTGTTTGTCATGATTTCAAATCCACTTGTTTACAGCTCCAGTGAAGGTGTTTTGATCTAAATGTGGACTTGGGAGGCCAGTCAGGATATCAGAATTATTGTGCTGCTTACTGCCTACTGATGCAAACATACGGAGGAGGAACTATGACATACTGGGCATTTAAACTTTAAATACCAAGAATGTGTGAGGTCTTAATGGAGAGTATTAGATCTGGCCAAGGCTACTCTTTGCTGATCTAAATAGCGCTTCAAAGATCCTGAGATACTTGCTCCTGTCATCGCCAGGCTACTCTTGGTTGGCAGTGGGTTAAACCACGCAGTAGCCTCAGGAAGAGAAGGGATATCTATTCCTGCCATGGAGAGACTACTCTTCCTAGGAGGTGGTGCAAGCTAGTGTGATGGCCCCTGGAGTAATAACCATCAGAGCAGCCCACCTTGCCTGCCAACACTGAGGCCATCACCCACTTGTCCCAGCAGCAAGGGACCTAAGCCAGCAGCTGACAGCCAAATGTTAGAAGGATTGACTTTACTGAGAACCAGCTCCTAGAAAGGTGTGATTTCTTTCATCTCCCCTCTGCCTGGAACAACAGTATAATTCATCTTTGGTTGCTTTGGAGTACAGTATTTCTTCATTGGCTTATTAAGAGATATCACTCTGTATGCTATTGGCTTATGAAATATATTGTAATTCCTGCAGTGAAAATATATTAAATAACTGGCAAAGACAAATCGCAGACTGAGCGTAATCGGCCTGAACGTAACAGGCTACCACAGAATAAAGTTTCATTTAAAGGGTTATGAGACAGAAGCTGGGAGGTAGATTAAGTAGTGGTTGGGCACTAAGGAAGAGAAGAGCTCAACTGAAATACTCTACATTTGAGTTAGGGAAATTTCCTATATTCCCTAACTACCGCCTACTGTCCCTTACCTCTTTGATAGCTCTCCTTTTGTTGCAAAGTAAAGTGATTTCTGGCACCCCCTTTTCAAATCACAGAATCTAGCAGGGCCTGCCTTACATACCAACATGGTGGAAGACAGGACGGCGCGGTGGGTAAACCGTGTACAGGGGCTGGGGTGTGAGGGCCTGGGGGGATGATCTAAGCCAACTGAGCCTCCCTGGGCCAAGTTTCCTCATCTGTAGATGATCATAAAAAGTTACCTCCCAGAAAGAACGGTTAGAAAAGAGCCAAATGTAATGACAAACACAGGGTGCAGAGCCTGCGTACAGTGCCTGCTGCGCTCCCCGGATTCCACCCACCAAAAGCACAGCAACATCGAAGACTTAGAACGATTATTCAACTATCAAGTTTGGGACCGAGGAGCCACTACGTGGCCTGATAACGTGCACCTTGGCAAGCCCCACGGAGCCCCGAGCCCGCCCCCGCGGGGCCAGAGACCGCTCGCAGTCACCCGCCGGGCCGACTAGCCACGGCCTCGTGTCTCTCGGGGAGCCGGGGACCGCGGGCCACACCGCCGCCAACGGGGTCTCCGAGAGCGGGCGGAGGCACCGGAAGCGCGGAGGGGCGGGCCGAGGCTGCGGCGCTCGAGGCAGCGGGGAGACCGGTACTCACCCCAGGCAGGCGGCGGGCGGCCGCGGCCATCCGTGCCCGGGCGGCGGCGAAGTCGGGCGGCGGGGCTTGCCGGCTCCGGAAGACCAGGGCGAAGAGGATCCCCAGCAGGAAGGCGGCCGCGGCGCAGCCCAGGTACAGGCTGAGCCGGAGCAGGACGGTGCACGGCCCCGCGCCTCTTGCCGCCTGCCAGCAGCCAGGCCCCAGACAGGAGAGGGACACGGCGGCGAGGGCGGCCAGGGCCACGGCCACCCGCCAGCTCCCGCCGGTGGGGGTCCCCGGGGGCGCCGCGTCCTCCCGGAGCTCCGGCCGCCGCACGCACGGGGCCCCCGGGGCGCCAGAGGCAGGGTGGCCGCGGGCGTCTGCGGCAGGCGCGGGGCTGAGGCCGGCGCCGCTGCTGTCGGTGGCATCGGGGTGCATGCTGCTTTCTGTGCCGCTAAGGACAGGCACATCTCCTGCCCTGCGGTCCCCCGGAGCTGCCCTGGACGGCGGCCTCTGCGCGGCGCCTGCTCCCCTCGCCGCGGCCGCCGCTCCGGAGGCAGCGGGAGTCCGCGCTCATGCCCTCGCTCGCGGCCCGCCGAGGGAACAGCTCCTACCGACGCCGCCGGGCTCCTCGCAGCGACCGCTCAGCGCCGCCGCCCGGCGCTGGGCCCGCAGCTGTCCGGCCAGGCGTGCCCAGGTAGCCGGACTGTGTTGTGACTTAAACAGGCGAAGCCCGAGGCGGGGCGGGGGCGGGGACGGGGCGGCCCCAGATGCGTGTCAGGCTGGGGGCGGAGAGAGACCGGGGCTCGCTGAGTGACAGCTGGGAGGCTCCTCGCCCCGCCGGGCCCACCGCCCACCCGCGCGCGGGGGAGGGGCCCGGCCCGCCGCTGCCCCCCGGGGGAGCGGGCGCGACCAATCCCAGAGAAAACGGCTCTGTCCCTGGCTTCCCTCCCCTCCGCGCAGGATACCGTCTGTTGATGGAAAATTTTGCTGCAGGTGTCAGCAGCGTTTATTATTCTCGAGCACAGGTGCTCCCTTAAAGCTCGCTCTCCACTCATTACTGGCAAGTAACCTCCTCGCATGCTTACCGCCTCCCAAATGTCTGTTCACCTTCTATTAAATAGGTGACCATTCCTGAGCCTCACTTTTAACGTAGCGCCCCTAATAACCTTCCCTTTCCCACCCAGCTACCTCAGGGAAGGAATCAGACAAATGTGGAGGAGTAAATGAAGCCTGCAATTTCTCCTTCTGGAAAGGCCCAAAGAAGTCTGCCTGGTGCCAGAGAGTGTACACAGCTGCTACACTTTGGCTCCAAATCACTGTATTTTTTTTGCCAACGACTCAGTACAAATGCTATTACAACCACAAGAGTGAAAGCAGTCCAAATAATGCTTAGAGCACATAGTTTCCTCTTCTGTCAATGTTCCCAGCGTTAATATACAAATAATGCGCACTGGGAAGATGCCAATATGCTAGATAAATAGTAGTAATCACTACTGAGACCCATACAACAGCGGATGTATCTTTAATGGTTAAAAAAAAGAAATTCTAAAGGAAATGAAGGAATTCTAAAGAGATTAATGGCGATTTAAAGTGCAGGGCGGGTGCTAGAGAAGAGAGCAAGTAAAGAATAAAAAGGAAGAAAGGGAGGAAGAAGTAAATAAAGAACGATATGGGAAACATTTAAAAGAAAAAACCCAGAACTCTCCCCATGCAGCACTCTTGAAGAATTTCAACAGTTTAAAAGCACTATTGTTTTATAATAAACTGGGTTATATCCTGCTTCCTGGGAAGCATATTTAAGAAAAGTTAAGTTAAAAAAAGTAAATATATTTTCAAATACTGTCATTGGTATCATTCAACAAAGAAAAAATACACCATTCATATGAAGTAAACTAAATAATTTAGTGGATATTTATTCTTTCAAAATATTTTCCAAGGTTGCTATTCAACAGAAGAAATACTGGTATCCATAGACATACATAGCCTACCCATGTATTCATGTCTTCATAAAAAATTTCCCTAAAATGGTATGGATTTCAAGTGGACAATGGTGAGAGGTCTAAACAAAGAGCATAGAAATGAAATGTTTTATGTATTTATATAAAAACAAATATATTTACATTTGTCATTTTTTAAAAGCTTTGATTTTAATAGTAATCAGTATTCGTGGGACACTTTATTCTTATACTTGCAAGTCAAAAACAAGGATATAATGAGTGCCTTAGGCCAGATGTGACTTTGCCATGCCTAGGTGATGACAGGTGATGATCTTCTTGCTCTTTCTACCCTTTAAAAAATAATAAAGCAGTGTAACTAACTTTGAAGGAGCCCTATTGCCCTCTAAAATGGCCACTATTCATTTCACTGGGGCTCCTCAAAGTGTACTTTACAAATCCAAATTATTTCAAATAAAGCATGGTATCGTGTTATTACCAACAATCATATCTATACTTTTTGATCACTGCCAGAAACAGCATGTGAGGGATTTATATATATTTTCCAATTCAAACCCATAGAGGACAGCAGTAGTAATAAATTGAGCACTTCCTGTGTGCCAGACACTGTTCTAAGCACTAGGCATGCTTCACTGAATCTTCACAACCTGACAATGTTACCTCCATCTACACATGAGGGAACTGAGGCACAGAAAGTAAAATAACTTCCTCAACCTCACACAGCTAATAAAAACCAGAGCTAGGATTTGGTTATGACACCTGGTCAGGCTTTTGAGCTTGTGCATTTAATCACTATGCCATAGTGCTTCCTAAAAACTCTGTCATTCAGTCATCCCCATATTACAGAGAAAAAAAACAGGGTTTAAATCCATGAGCTTAATACCTGCATGCCATGCTTAAAACTGTTTATTTTGTTGTTTTCTGAGTATAGCTGTTATCTTAGGCAGCCTGCTGACAAGTGCTATATGACTATAACTTGAATCAATAAAGGGGGAAGTGGTCTCACTGTTATTGGAGAGCCCTAGACTGTAACTCTAAAGAGATGATTTTTCCAACATGCCAGTATACTCTTCACAATAATATAATCCTGGAAAAATGTGCACTTGTGGCCAGAAAACTTCCTTAAGGCATATGCCATATTGCTAAGTCAGTACTGACATTTCAAACATTGACTTAACAAGTAGCAGTTGGGTCTCTACCCTATACCAGGTTTCAGGGACACTGAGAGAGATGAGGCCCTAAGTCAGGTGTAAAATTAGAATCCAGGTGTTCTTTCCAGTAGTCAGTGTTAAGTTCTACTAGCTCTAAGGATTGAAGAGCAAATTAAATAGGGATGTCTTATTTTCATATTACTTATGGCCAGCACTTTGTGACAGGCTATAATTGAATGTTCTATAAGCTAGCTTCATTATTCTCTCACGGAAGAAGAGAATGACACCTGCCTTGACTCATTGGGGTATTACAAGATAAAGTAAGATAAATGAAAAAATAAACATTTAAAACATTAGATAATGCAGATAGGTAGACCACACCTGATCTCTGTCAAAATATCTAATGAATATTCCCCTTCACTATTTAGCATATTTGTCCTTAAACCTCCTGGCCCACTTTGGAGGTAGCTACAGGATTAGAGAGAATACCAGCATTTGCCCTTGACCACTTTGGGGGAAATTGTGAATAAAGATGTTTAAAAGAGTCAGAAGGTAAATTAGCTGGCATATAGATAAAGAATCAACAAGGTTAGATCCCAAATAAAGGGTAAGTTTAATTTATCTAAGTTTTGACCTGAAATTTAGGGAAATGTGATGTGTCAGTTATGTACTGTTGCATAACTACCACCAAATAACAACCATTTTATTTGCTTAAGATTTTGTGGGTCAGCAATTTGGGCTGGGGTCAACTTGCCAGTTCTGCTCTTCTTACTCGGGGTCAGTAATGAATTTGTGGTCTCCTTATGCTTTGTCTATGGAGCTTCTTTTGAGATGGCTTGTTGGCTATGCATCCTGTGTTCTTATCCTCCAAGAGGTTAGCTTGGGCTTCCTCACATGACAACCTGAGGGATGCCACATGCAAGTTCTTTTCAAGCTTTTCTTATGTTACATTTGTTAATGTCCCACTGGCCAAAGAAATCATATGGCCCAACCAGTAGTTAAACAAGGACAGGCCTACACATGAGGTTAAATATATGGGGGTGTAATTCATTGGTTCCATTACTTTAACAACCTACCACAATTCACTTCCATGGAATACACTGATCAGTTTCTGGTGGGTCATTGGGCTGCCACCAAGATCAATAGCACCTAATGATTCGTTTACTGCAAATATATTAAAGTTCTATTTCTTATTCCTGGACTTGATAGTTCTTCATAATCTGTTTCCATTCACCTGTGGGATAGAGAAAAAAGCCTGGGTAAGGATAGGAGCAAGGAAGGCAGTGTACAGCTGTTTGCAGTTGTGAGTTTGGCAATATATTATTTAGCTTTATTTTACTTTAGTATTTTCAGGTTATGAATCATAAAGCAAAAAGAAAAAATTCTACACTCAGATTTTGATATCAAGTTTTATTGGGCAGCAGATTATAAGGAAAAGAAAACAAATCGTGTTTACTTATTATCTAATTTCTTCAAAATGATGTGGGCTGAGAAACGTTTTGAACTAATCTGTATGATGTTTCATGAAATTTGTCATGAGCCGAGTAAAATATTAAGTAGGAAGTGCTTTAATATACCTCCATAAATTAGGAAAGGATTTGAAATATTTAAAGATTAACACTATGTATCTAATGTTATATAAAGCTTTTATACACAACCTAAAAGAAGTCAGTATGTCTGATTTGTCATTTATTTGCTATAGGAAAGGGCACATGTTTTCAGAAAGTAAAAATTTGTATTAGAAAATTAATCAGAGTGAAAAATAGGAGTTGCACAGTGTAGGTCCTTGGTATTTTTTAATGAATAAATTTGATATTTATGATAATGTATAATAATTGGGTACACAAAAAAAACTAAAATAAGAGGAACTTTAACTTTTGTAAATCCTTTTTAAAACATAGGTTCCTCACTACAATTCTATAAAGGAGGTAAGTAGTATAATCCCTTTTTGCAGATGACAACATTGAGGTTCATAGAAATTAAATGACCTGCCTAAAATCACATAGCTAGTTGGCAGTAGGACTAAGTTTTAGGATTTTCCTTCATTATACTATCTTTCAAATATAATAATATTTTATAATAATGTAAAAGTAATGTCAAGGGACAAAACAAACTTTTTACATTATACGGATAATAATCCTTACAAAACCAATGTCATAAAAATGGCATTCATCTGGCTTTTAAATAGATGGTAAATTTCTGGAAGGTAGTATGTGACTTCTACTCATTCTTTCATTCAGTCCAAAAATATTAAGTAGGTGATTTGTTAGAAAATAGTATAAAATACTGACTCTGCAATTGAGGAACTCACATGTTAATGAGGTGCAGGGAGGAGACAGGAAAGCATGTAGGATTGTGATACTTATAATAAAGGTATTACATTAATTACACAGTTCCATGGCAACAAAAAGAAAGCTACTAATTCTGCTTTGTGGGAATTAGGGAAAATTCAAATGTTACTTCTCTGTGATTCTAAATTATTTTGCTTTTTCAATTTCCTCTACTTATTATTGCATTTAGATGTTTTGAACTACCCCTTTGATTTAAAAAAATGTGAAACCTAACTACCTTTAACTTCAAGTTAGAGTATATACTTTAACCCAGTAAAGATTTCGTCCTTCAAAACTTCATTCCTGAGTTGAAAATGAGTTTGATATTGGGTGTACATTTGCTCATAACAAAGTTTAGCATAGATGAAAAGCCGCCAGACAGTATGGAAAGGTCTTTTAACAGCTTTCTATAGAAACTATCAAGCCTATATTCTGTTTAAATAGGTTTACCAATAAGTGAGAAGCAATTTTTAAGACAGAAATGTTATTTGTATTTTTTCTGATGAGAGGGTCCAAATTCAGTGAGTCTGGGGAAGGGTCTTTTCACCTACAAATTGATGAGCTTCTATGACCAGAACTATGAAGAGGCACAAAGCAAATAAAATCTCTATCCCTGAAGGAGCGTATTTACACTCTAGTTCACACATTCATTGGTTCATTGATTCAATATAGACAACTGAGGAAGTACTCTTTGCAGGAAAACCAGCGACAAGGCACAAGACTTTATAATTCATAACCCAGAAAAAAAGCCAAAATTTGAGATGTAATAGTCTTTGGGGTTTTTTTTTACTTATCATGGTAAAATATACATAAAATTTACTATTTTAACCATTTTTAAGCAAACACGAGTGGCAGTAAGTACCTTTACACTCTTGTATAACCATCACCACTATCCATCTCCAGAACTTTTCCATCATCTCACACTGAAAAACTCTGTAGCTATTAAATAATTATCTATTCAGTTCTCTCACCCCACCCCGTCCCTTGGTAATCTCTAATCTCTGTTCCTAAGACTTGTTTATTTCAGGTACCTCATGTAAGTGGAACCATATATGTCTTTCCAGGCCTAGCTTTCATTTAGCATAATGTCTTCAAGATTCATTCATGTTGTAGTATATAATTCCATTCCTTTTTATGGCTGAATAGTATTACACTATTTGTAGGTACCACATTTTGTTTATCCATTCATCTGTTGATGGACATCTGGGTTGTTTCCATCTTTAGGCTACTGTGAATAATGCTACTATGAACATGGGTGTCCAAGTATCTGAGTCCCTGCTTTCAATTCTTTTGGGTATGTACTCATAAGTGAAAGTGCTGGATAATATGGGAATTCTATGCTCAGTTTTTTGAAAAACTGTCATAATTTTCACAGCAGTCATACCACTTTACATTCCCATGAGCAATGCACAAAAATTCCACTCTCCAATCTCTCCACAACTTTGCCAATCCTTGTAATTTTAATTATGCATTTATAATAGTCAGCCTAATATATGTGAAGTGGTAGCCAATTGTGTTAATTTGCACCTCCCTAATGATTAGTGATGCTGAGCATCTTCTGTGTTTACTGGCCATTTGTATTCCTTTTTTGGAGAAACGTCTATTCAACAACTTTGTATAATAAACTTTTGACCACAGAGTAGACAACTACCCTTGGGAAATGGTACAAGCATACTTTCATCAGGCAGAATTAAGAAATACTTCCTTCTAGCCTTCAAAAAGAACAGAGAGGCAATTCTTGTTGGTAGTTACAACCAACAAACACAAAGTGCATTGTGAAGAACGGAAACTGAGCCAATTCCTTAATGAAACTCCCTAGAATATGGCTAACCTGTAGTTTCCAACTTTCTTTGCACTTTCATAAAAAAATATTTATAATAAATTCCTAACCAATATAAAAAACTATAGACTTTGTGGTTTAAAACAACACATATTTATTCTCTTGCCATTCTGGAGGTCACAAGTCTAAAATCAAAGTATTGGCATTCCTCCTGAGGCCTTAAGGGTAGAATTTTTTTCCTTTGTCAGCTTGCAAGAGGTACCTGCTTTCCTTGGCTCACCACTAGTTACATCACTTCGACCTCTTGCTGCCTATTTTTAATTAAACATTAAAGTCTTTTTTCAGTTTTATTGATATGACATATAACACTGCGTAAATTTGAGTGTACACGATACATGTATGATGAAATGATCACAATAAGCCTACTTAACATCCATCACCTCATATAGTTACAATTCTTTCCTTGTGAAGAAAACTCTTTAAGATCTACACTCTTCTAAAAATATACAATACAGTATTACTAACTATAGGCACCATGCTGTGCATTACAACCACTTGCTACTATGGCCACTCTATCACTGACTTTGAACTTCTTGCCTGCCATTGTATAAGGATCCTTGTGACTACATTGAGCCCACAGGGATGATCCAGGTTAATTTTCCCATCCCAAAATTCTTAATCACATAGCAAAGTCTTGTAAAGTAGCATATTCACTGGTTGTGGGGCGTAGGGGATGGCTTTGAGGTGCCATTATTCTACGACACCTACTAGGCATTCAAAATATTCTAGAGATAATTTTCCTCTTCGATTGTTTCAACCACCCACCTGTATTACGGGTAGTCAACAGAGGACTTTCTAATGTTAGCAGCCCCTGGACCATGGAACCAACTAGTTGTCTGAACTGAACTTGCCGATATAAATAATCACAAAGCCCGAAACGCCCTCATTTTTATTGCTGTTGTTCTGATGTTAGTACAAGATAATTCCAGCAGCTTTCCCGAACAAACTAGCCGCCATAACTAGGCCCACCCGCGTTGCCAACAGCGGGGCCACAGCAATAACACTTTGAGGGCGTACTGGGAAACTGGACCCAGAAGGTCGCTTTCCTCACGTGTCCTTTCCCATTCCCTCCGCGCTCCGTGACGCCCGCGGAGGGCAAGGGCGTAGCGCAGCGAGTTAGGCCACCACCAAGCTCCCGCCGTACTCTCGCTTCTGCCCCTGCGCGCCCCCTTCCCCTTCAGCTCCCTCCGCTTCCGGAAGCCCGCGCGGCGCCGCTGGGAGCCGACGGGAGGGGCCGCGAGCGCGCGTGTGCGCCTGCGCTCCAGCCGGGAACGCTGCGGGCCGCGCGAGAGGAGGCAGGAGTGGCCGCAGTCCTCAGGTGAGCACCCCTCGGGGGCCCGGGTGTTCTCCGCCACCCTTCTTCCCTTCGGAAGCCGACCCCCTCCGGAGCGCAGGCAGGGACGAACACTCAGGGTCGGTATAAGGAAGCCTGCGCGGTAGGTTAGGACGGCGGGCCGGCCGCGCGGCCAGCCCCTCAGGCGTGGGTGTAACCATAACAGAGACGTCCGCGCCGGCCGCAGCTGGTGCCAGTGCCCCGGCCGCTTGCGGCCTGCCCTCAGGACGCATTCGGAGTGGCTGCGGGGCCCGAGTCGGCCCCGAACCAAGAAGCGGCCGCGACCGGGCGCCGGGCTCAGGGCGCCGCCACCCACCTCCGCAGACCGGAACCCGAACCGTGAGGCCCGAGGGGCTGTAGGTTATCATCCGCCCCGCGGGCGTCCGCAGAGGGTGGTGCACCGAGCCTCGAGTTCCTGGAAACCCCGTGTCAGGCCTAGATTTTCGAATATATACCAAACTACGGAAACGTAAGGTGACATTAAAAAAAAGACAGTTTAAAAAGTGCCAAATTGTTATCTGTGTTTTCCTGAGATATCGGCGAAGCATTCGTATTTCTGTTGCTGCCTGCAGGAGTTACCCAAGTGGTGAGTGTCCAGGTGACTTCCTGACAGCTGTGACCACCGTCTTTTTTGAGCACCTCAGGGTTATGTGGTCTGACGAACTATCATTTAATTTTTACCCCTAATCAATATGTCGTTTAAGAGAATCGTTACGATCTTATGAACCCCATTCTTTTTATTATTCTCTAATGTAAATTGAATCTCACTAACTTTGAAGTAGATGTTACCAAAATAATTGCTTAGTGGATGGGATCGTTGGATAATTTCCTGTAAATTTAAACCTGAAAAGTCTCCCAGACACCGAGTCTTATGACCTGTGACCACTTAGGGAAGCAGATGCTTCCAGTTATTGGGGATCACATGAACCAGCAAATGCGGATACGGGGATGATTGATTCTGGCGGAGTAGGGGAGACAATTATCGGAAACCGTCAAGGAAACTAGCTCAGAGAAAAGAGATGAGTTTCTGCTTACAGAGCTAGCAAAGAGCAGAACTAGGGCCCAATGTTAAGTTTCCAAACATATTCATAGATTAAATATTCTTTGAATGTCTTAATTTGTCAGGTCCTACTTTAGGCACTGGGGATATAAGGTGAGTGAAATACCTTGAGTTCCCAGTCTGGTGAAGAGACAAGCAGGGCAGGAAACTGTTAGCTGTGAAAAACAAGGATTTCTAAGATCTGTAGTCATTTAGGTTATGGATAGATTTTGGGATTTAGACCTAGTTCATAAAATGTTATGGTTGGGAACCTCATGCATGAGTTTCCCCTGAAGCATCCCAGCAAGTAGACCTTGTCATTCCTTTAACATTATCTAGTAATTTATGGCTCATAATCTTAGAAAGTAGCCCCTTCCATTTTTTAGCAGTTCTTATGTTAATCTCAGAACACCTTTCCTATGCACTCCATCTCCTGATGCTCGTTCTACCTCTGGAACTACAAATTAAAAAACAAGTTTACTAATGTTTTCATATCACAGTCCTTCAGTTATCTGAATACATCCTTTCCCTTAGTCATTACTTTTACTAACTTCAAGCCCCTTGTTCTGGAAACGATGTCATGCCTTAGATTCTAGACTCCATTGTAGCACCCAGAACTAAATGTTTTATTCAAGAAGTAGTTTGACCAAGCAGAATATAATGCAAGCAGTCTTGGACTGTGTTGCTATTGCGATATGACGTAAGACCATGCTAGTCTTTTGGTTTCCGAGTCATGCTTTTGCCTCTTGGTGAGCTCCGTTTTTGTTTTTTTTTAATGAATCTTCTTTTAATTTGGGATCTTCATTATGCCTTCCCTCCTCACCTCACCCTGCCTCCTTCTGTATCTGCACTGTTAGTGTGTTGTTGTTTGGCTGTCTCAGAATATCCCTTCTTACTAAGTATTCGGCTTATTAATTTTCCTCTGCTTTTTTTCAGTAAAGCATAATCATTAAGAGTGGTGACTCTGGCCAGACTCCTTGGATTCAGATCCTGACTCTACTGCTTTCTGGCTGTGTGATCTTGAGCATGTCAGTTAACCATTCTGTGCCTCAGTTTTCTCACCTCTAACCTCAAACTCAAATGAGTTGATTGATGAAAAAGTGCTTAGAACAGTGCTTGGCACATAATAAAATCTTTATGAATGTTAGGTGCTTTTCCATTTATGCAGAACCTTTTGAAACTTTATTTTTTAACTATCCATCTCATTTTCTTTTATTTACAAGTTTTATAAAGCTTGAAGCCATTAAGAGGCATACTTGTAAAAACTGATGCTTTAAATTAGTCAAGTCATTAGTATTTGCTAGGCCTCAGTTTCTCATTTCCTAATGTAAGGGGGTAAGATCTTTTCCTTTCAGGTCTGTTGGGAAACCTTGAGGGTAAGGGTAGGGTATTAGCCCTCACATTGATTCTGTGCCATGCCCATCATCAGGAACTCTCCTTGAAGGTCTTCAGGGATCACCAGCAGAGATGCCACATACCAAAAGAGGAGGCATGCTGGAAACTTCAAGTTCAGTGACTTCCAGAATTATTACCCTCCTTAGCAGAAATATCTTTGGAAATCACTACTCCATTTGGAAAGGGGGTGTAAAAGTCACCAGTTCAGATTGAGATAGAGTCACAGGTTAATTCAGAGTTTTAAATTCTGGTTACTTAGGTTAGCACTTCTTAATTTACCTAAGGGTACTGGTTTAATTTGTGGTGCCAGGGAGACCTGTTCTGAATTTGTTAGAGGAAAACTGCTATATGGCAAATAAATCCACCAAAATATGTGGCAAATACTGGTATGTGTATCCAATTTTACCTGTACAGGTGCTCCTTCCTTTGCAAAAAACTATTCCTTAGCCATATTATTGCTAAACAGATTCCATTTTCCTGCAAAAATCCCAATAAAATAAAAGAATCTTATTATCTTGCCCATGGTTTACCATCAGATAAATCATAGATGTCACAACAGTGTGTTTAAAAGGTTAAAAAAAAAAAGGTCTCAGTTCCTAGACTTAATGGAAGGACTGTATTTTGAAGCAAAATAGAACAGTGATTAATAATATGAGCATGCCTGCTTTAGAATCCTGACTGTACCATTTAACTAGCTGTGGGACTTTGAGAATTTCTTGCTCTGCTTCATTGTCTTCGTTGTAAAATGGGAATGATAGAACATCTTAAAGTTGTAAAGATTACATGAGTTAATACTTATGCACTTAGAACAAGGCTGACACACAAGTACATTTTTATGCATACTTTTTAAAACTTTTTATCTACTCAGTATATTTTTACATGGTAGTAGTAGAATAGAATAACAACAACACTAATACAAGTTGAGACTTAGTTATGTTAGTAATTTTATTTCCTTAAAAATGTAAACAGATTTTTCTGAGGGGTGGAACTTGACTGATGGGATGATTATTTTTTAAATATTTGTTTTTAAAACTGGCTGGGAGAATTTTTTCCATGTGTTATGTTATGAAACCATGTGCTTCTAGAATTTGAAGAAACTTACTAAAAAAATTTTTTTAACCACTATGGTATTCTTAACCCTAACAAAGTGAGAAAGAGGAAAAATAACCACAACTCTTTTTATTCCAGCCCTTGACATTTTGGATTAAAGGGTATATTACCTTACGAAGAGGAGTAACTAAAGGGGAATTTAATGACTCTTTATAAGAACTACCTACTATTCACTGGCTGGTTTTGATTTGTTGTCTTTCTTTTTGAACCCAGTTGAGCAGAATTGGGATAATGATCAGTCATACTCTTTAAGTTTGTGATGACTCATGATCAAAGGCTCTGCCAGATTCTGTATTTTCCCCCTTCATCCACTTACACAGCCTCATTTCCTCCTCCTTCACAGGTTCATACTCTTAGATATTAATGTATTCCTTTCCAGTCCATGATGTATAACTTTATATGTTTGTGCCCAGGAAGAATTTAGTATTGTGTATGTTATTAGTTTCGTGTAATTGTTCATTTATTTCTGCTCTTTTATTAACATTATTTTTGTCAGTCTAGTTCATCCTTTTTGACATTTTGCTTACCCAATTTCTTACTAGACATTGAGTTTTTTCTAACTCATCGCCATTACAAACAGTGCTATGATGAACATCCTTGTGCACGCTCCCAGGAACACACAACTGGGAAGTGGCAGAGCCAAGTTTGAGCTGGTGTATGTGACTCAGTTCATTCTTTTTCACTGTGCAGACTCCCAATCATCAGTTACTTCCTTAATTTATTACAGGATATCATTATGATAACACTAATACAAAAATGCATAGGATTGTTAGTTTTTCTTCTAACAGGTAAACTCCTAATTTTTGCCCTTTCCCCCTGTTTTTGTTTAAATGTATAGATTGTATTAATCCAGTATGGATAACAATTTTGTATTCTGCATTTTTCATGCTGATGTAGCACCTAAATAGGGTCCACAAGCTTTTTCAGTAAAGGGTCAGTAGGTAAATGTCTTAGGCTTTGTGGGCCATACAATTTCTGTCACAACTACTCAACTCTGCAGTTGTGTGACAGCTGTCAGACACCATACCTAACCCTAGGAGCAAGGCTGTGTTCCAATAAAACTATTTACAAAAACAAATGCAGGCCAGACGTGACCTGTACACAGTATTTGCTGACCACTGATTTAAAATATTATTTTAATGGAATTATAGTATTCCTCATTTCAGGTTCTTTCAGTATTACAAATAATGCTGTAATGGATACCATTCCATCTTTTTAGTATTACATTATTAGAGCAAGATTCCAGAAATGAATGTACTAATTCAGAAGGTTTATGGCTTTTTTGTGACTGAAAATTAATAGCCAAATGCCTTTAAAAGAGACAAGTTTTAGTTTTTTTTATAAATAAATTGAGAGAATAGGCTAATTTCAATGTGGATAAATATATCTAAAACATTGTTAGATATCTTTCTTTTGAGGATTTTGGGAAGAGGTTTCCTTCTGTTAATTTTAAAATGTAAAAAGGGCATTAATTTGTGCTGTGGGAAATAAGATGTCTTGTAGTTAGTATTAGATCTAAGTTTTATAATCTTATTTTTCTTAAACCTTATACATCTTATTTAAGTTTAAATCTAATGTGTTAGAATTTAAAAACTTAATTTACTTTGCTTAAATTTTCACTTAGCTTAAGCCTCCCTGAACGTTGGAAGCCATTTGCAAATTCACACAGCACGGTTTCAATTTTAGTATATTTAATTTTCATAAGTACCTCAAACACCTGACAAGGCACAACCTAGAGAGCTAATAAGGGAAATCTTACTATGCACTTAGACATTTTTAAATAAACCTTTCAGGTCTAAACTTACTGATTTAATTAGATTCCCTGAAGCATTTAAAAGTTGATTACAAAGAGTTAAATTTTTATAAGTTTAGTAGTCAGAATCAAATTCTTCAAAACCTTAAAAGCAGAAAGATAAAAGATAAAAGACACATACCTTAATCTAACATTAACCTATTGTATTAGTATTTACAAGTTTGATTTTTAAACCTTATCTGTACTTGTTTTTATAGGTTGCAGTCACTTAAATGAAGGCTGCTGAATATCATGGCTGATTCAGAAAGATATTTTATATAATCTTTTATTGTTTGATTTGGTGTAAGGGAATTAATCATAATTTGAATATAGTGAGCCCATAATTAGATTGTTTGCTATTTATACATACATACATACTTTTCTTTAACATGGCTTATATTATTTGTCCTTTTTGAATATCATTTGGACAAACAGCTTTCACAGAATTAGTTTTTTTCATTTTTAAGTCTGTTTTGTGTTTTTTGTTTTTCAAAGCTACATTTTCCAGCTGGAGCAGTTGAGCCCCTTTAAACTGGATCCTTTGTTTTATTACCACTACCCAGGCATATTTGAATATTGTGCTTCTGACAACAGTAAAATACTTTAGGCTTTTGTTTTTCTTTATCACTAGAAATAGCATCTAAAATCAGCTGCCTTCCAAGGAGTCCTGGGTTTTTGTTTGTTTGTTTGTTTAGTAGAGAATAGTATTAGAGGTCAAACTCTAAATTCAAACTTGCAATAGACATATTACAGTAGTATGACACTGCTGCACGGACTACTGTGATAAAAGTATTTTTTAAAGGGTATTACTACATACCAAGGTTTCTAATTTGATTTCAACTGTGTGAAGTATTAAAATATTTTTAAATCATTTTTAATTTTTATCATAGTTGTACATATATAAATTTATAGGTCAACTTATAATTTAAACTCTATAACCAAAATTAGTCTCTGTACCATGCTATAGGCAACTACTTTTAACATTTTTATCCATTTCTTCTAATACTTAACTGCATGTGTCTAAATAATATGTTGTAATTTTTCCATTTTAGACAGCCTGTGAAATAAGACTTTTACCTAGACTTCCTTTTAACACAGACATATATACTTCTCCCCTGTCATTTTCTATACGTGGTTATGTCCCAGTATGTGATTAAATATTCAGAAGTTTGACCTCGAGCTTACATGTGCGTGTGTGTGTGTGTGTGTGTATAGAATGAGAGAGAGACTGTATATGTGCCTTAGAGTTTTTGTTCTTTAAGAAGGGATGGGGGAGATTTACTTCTAATAGGATTCATCTCCTGCTTCTTGCTGAGTAACTATGGTGAAAAAGCAGAGGAGGACAAAGACAAGCACTGAAACAGGGAAGTTTGTCAATCTACACTGAACTACTTACACTAAAATAATATGTGTTTAGGCTGACTTAGCTGATGATCTGAGATTTTAACACCATCCTTTCTTATTCTAAACTCTACTTAATTTATAGAAGGCAGATTTTCCTTAGGGTTCACCTAGATATACATGTTTGAGATATGCCTGCCTTCATCATCTGTTATTATTTTCTTGTGAACTGAAGTGTTAGATTTATTTTTCTAATCACTGGTACAATTTGTTACTATCCCTGTAGCCTCATTATCACTTAAATAAATTTTTGCTTTTGGTGTGTTTTTTTGTCATGCTTCTCTTTATATATTATGCAAACTTCTCAGTTTGAGATGTGCAATTACTGTATAAAAATGTATTTGGAAATTACTATTTGTCTGATGGCTGTACTTTCATCTTTTCCAGGTATATTTTTGCCATCATGGATCCGTTCGCAGATATATCGGAAGGTGAAGTGGACCATTCTTTCTTTGATAGTGACTTTGAAGAAGCAAAGAAATGTGAAAGTAACTCCATTTTTGACAAGCAAAATAGTGGCGCTGAGGAGAGAACAGATGAAGATATGGAAAATGTAAATTTGAAATTTGGAATGCAAAGAAAGGAAAGTGAACTTACAGAGAAAAGAGATGAAATAAAAGAGAAAATCTCTCCAGAAGAGCATGCTGTAGAAAATCGTAATACACAAACCAGAAATTCCTTATCATCAACCACTTCTTCAAGATCAGAAAAATTATGTGATGTTACAACAGGATATAAAATGCACATACACTTGCCCATTCCAAACAGAATTCCCAAAATTATAAAAGAGGGTGAAGATGATTACTATACAGGTGGAGAGGAAAGCAGTGATGATGGGAAAAAGCATGTTCGGTCCAAGTCAAGTAAACCATCTAATAATTTTAGAAAAAACATAAGTAAAAAGTATTCCAAAAGGAGTTCCTCTTCCACCTCTTTCTCTTTGTCCTCCTCATCTTCAGTTTCAGGTACAGATTGTTCAGATGCAGAGTCTGACAACTGTATATCTGATTCATCTCCATCATTCAAGAAACGCCTCTCTGTTGTAACCCATGTGTCACCAAAACAGAAATATAAACCAGGCATAAAATCAACAGAAACACAGCCTACAAGTGGTAAACCAAAAGTCGGTGTCTACACAGAGGAATCTGAAGATACTGTGACAGATGTCACTCCTTTATCGACTCCAGACATCAGCCCTATTCAGTCTTTTGAACTGGGTACCTCAATTAATCAAAAAGTAAAAGTTAAAACACAAGAAAATGTGAGTCAAGAAGTATATGGAACTGTTGAGGTTTTAAAAAATGAGTCAAAATCTTTGAAATCAGCCGAAAAAGGGAAAGAAAAACACATGCCCAATCTCATCTCAAAACCTTCAGTGTTAGATTCCACTTCAGACCACAAGTACAACCAAAAAGTCTTACACGACACAATGGATTTGAATCATCTTTTGAAAGGTAATTTTCTGTTTTAAAATTGTGTGTTAAACTTAATGGTATATTGAAATTAATGACTAAGTACTGTGAATTTGCATTGATTTTTGTAGTACATATGATAACGTTTAGGATACTACAGTAACCTCACAAATTTTCCATTTTACCATAAAGCATACCTAGAATATCATTCTATATAATACTGCAAAGCTAATCAACTAGGACTAGAAACTATAGCAGACCTTAAACAGTGAAGGGCTTGGGCTTGACACCTCCCCCAGTGCAGTCAAAAATCCACATTCAACTTTTGATTCCCTCAAATTTAACTACTAATAACCTATTATTGACTGGAAGACCTGTCAATAACATAAAATGGTTGATTAACACATTTTGTTTGTCTATTAGGTACTATCTTCTCTCTTCTATAAATAAAGCTAGAGAAAATGTTTTTCAAATTGTCACAGATATTCAAAAAAAAATCCCAGTATATTTATTGAAAAAAATTCACATGTAAGTGGACTTCAGCAGTTCAGACCTGTGTGTTCAAGTATCACCTATACTTCACAATGATAACATTTTAGTACCTTACAAACTCAAAATGCCAGGGGACCAGAGTTACGATAAGTGAGAGAAATGGAGCCAGATGTTTCCCACATCGGATAGAGACAGGGGCTTAAGGTATATGTCACTTTCTTCTTTAAGAAAGGCAAGAGTACCAAGGTTAAAGTAATCTGACCTGTTATTTTCATATCAGGAAAAGTGGCATGAATACTGACAAATGAAAAGAACTCACAATAAACTGAAGGGAGCTAATTCAGATTTTAAGTTAAAAGCTAAATAAAGACCATTACTTGAAAATAATCACCAAGCTGATGAAATAGCATAATTGAAGTTTTAGTTGCTATAAGATACAAATATTTTTTAATTAGAATGATTTCTATTGCTGTATTTCTGTATCAGTTTATTATCATCCATTGTTTATTTTGAAAGCAACATTATACTCCAGGTGAAATAAAACCACTTCAGACTTTGATCTTTGCACTAGCTAATATAATAACTATAAAAATATTAGGCTTGCAGGTTAAGTTTTAGGTCAATTAAAGGTAACATTTTAAAGTTATAAATAAGATTCTCTGTCTTTGAAATGTTAGTTGGAAGATACTTTAGCTGATAATTCACATATGGTGGCAGTCTAAGGGAATAAGTACATCCCTTATTTAATCAAATAATTCTCATATTCAGATTGATGAAGTGTATTTTAGAGCATTTTATCCTATGAATCTTCCCTCTTTAGTAGGTTTTCTTTTCCCTTTGCTCTGGTTTACCTATTGATTGTTCAGTGTTTGAAAAAATCATATTCTTGGCATTAGTTATCACCATCTAGTGGTTAAGCCTCCACTTGATGTATCTTTCCTGATAAATGCTCATTCAGTCTCTTAAAACTTTCAGGGTTGAGTAGTTTTCTATTCTTGCCTTTCTGCTTCTTACTCAACAACCAGATTTTTTTAAAAAGTAAATTAGTCCTACTAGCTTCCTTCTTAACTCTTCAGTGGGCTTACTCATATTAAAAATAAAATCCAAATTCCTTTTCATAACTTAACAAACCAAGTAATGGTTCTCATTCTAGGTAGTACATTAGCGTCACCTGGAAAAAAAGAAAAACAACTGTTAACTATTGAAACAAATATTCAGCCCTAGGCTCTGCCATAGGGATTTTGGTGCACTTGGTCTGTTATGCTGTTAAAGTTAATGAGAATGTCCTTTTTTAAAGAAATCTCTTACTACCTTGCTCCAGTAACATTGCTTCCTTACTGTTCTCAGAATATTTTGCATTTATGGGGCTTTTCTACTTGCTGTCAACCTTTTTCTTGGCATAGTCTGCTTCTGTTCCTTAGGTTTCAAAAGCTTTTATCTGTCACCTCAGAGATACTTTTTATGAACATGCTATTTATACTAGTTTCACATTCCTACCCTTGCTTTTCTGTCACAAAAGCCTATTGCCTTCCATCAGAATACTTACCAGACCTAGTTTGGTCACCTGTCCCTCTGGAGTGTAAGCAATAGGAGGACATGATCTTATTCTGTGCTAGAATCCCCAAATCTTGCAGGTGTTGGCACATAATAGACAGCATTTGTCAACAGAAGGATCTGTGCGGAAGATTCTTGTTTTTTGCATAGCTCTAATGATTAGGTAATATATTTCATATGTTTCACTGAAATTTGATTTTGTAAGTTACCCATTCTTAGATTTCCCATCTGAAATACTTAGAATAAGTCTGTGCCTCCTTCTGCATTATAATCATCAAAATATTTAATGTTTTCTGGGGAAAATTAAAATTCTTTGTCAAGCCATTCACTTTCTCACTCTTTAAAAATTCTTACAGCCACTTTCCAGTCCATAAGATGGATTGTGTGGTCCATCAGGCTGATGGTTCAGCAGCTGATGGTTCATCAAGTTGAGGACTGCATCGATCTTCATCTTTTCCTGATTTCCATCACTACCCCTAGTGCTCTAGCACCACAGGTTGCGAATTTTTTGGCATAGGACCAAAACCATTTACACTGTTTAAGAATTACTGAGAACCCCACAAAGCTGTCATTTTTGTGAGCTTTATCTATAAATCTTTACCATATTAGGAATGAAATCAGGAATTTTAAAAATACTTATTGGTACATTAAAGAATAGTGATAATAAGCCCATTATGTATTAACATAAGTAACATGTTTTATGAAACATAACTATTTCAAAGAAATTAGTAATTTTGCTAATGTCTTAATACCAGCAATAGAAAGTAGTTAGACTCTTATATCAGCTTCTGTATACAACTATTATGAATAAAAAAAATCAGCAATATGTTGAGAAGGAAGGAGGATAGTAAGAATATATGCTAATTAGACAACCAACTTTATCCACTAGGTTGGAGCTTCTTAAATTTTAACACACATACTGATCACTTGGGGAGCCTGTTAAAATGCAGATTCTCGTTCTGTAAATCTGGAGAAGAATCCATGGAGCTACATTTTTAGCCAGCCTGGTGGTGATACCAATGCTGCTGATCCAGGAACCATAGTTTGAATATCAAGACACTAAAATTCTATTTGGTTCCACTGCAAATAAGTACAAGTATCCCTTACTATTCTTATCTAATACAAAGCTGGGACTTTGTTGCGTATAAAAAGCCTGTATGTTTTTAAGTTTTAAATGGGGAAAATAATATACCCACCCAAAATCCCTGAACAGCTTTCCCAAATGTAACTGAAGCACTGAAATACTGTTTCAACAAGGAAGCTAAGCTAAAAATGTAGAAGGAAAGCATTGTTCATACTGCTGCATAGTAGGAAGCCCTGATCTCTGTGACCTGCTAGTAAGTGGTGCACAGGTCTTTTTGATGCACAGGAACAAAGGTGGCATTTTTGCCAGTTAGTACATCTGTTACCAGACTCACTAATAAAACACTCCACCAAAGATTATTTATAATAATAAAGTATTTTAAACACTAAGGTATTTCTTTAGCATTTCAAAATTATGCATGCTCAGTTTAACCAGTAAAGCTTTTCAGATCCAAGAGTATTTTCGAAAGTTTTCTTTATTTCTCCCAATATAACTAAACCGTGGACATGGTGAGATGGTGATGTGCTTGGTCAGGCTATGACTTTTCAGCACTCATTTCTCAATATGCTTTATCATTTTCAACTTTACTTCTGTTAGATGTACTTTTCTAGGACTTTTTGGGTCATCTAATTTCTTCAGTCTTTTCTACTTCTCTGGAAGATAACTCACTTATATGAGGAGGACAATAGTGACAATGCATAAGACATTTTAAAAATTACAAGCACAAGATATGATTCTATTAAGATGCTGCTTGTCAAAGAACAGCTGAGGTAGAAACACAGCATATTCTACATCATCTCAGTCTAAACATTTTCACTAACTTAGCTACAAAGATACAACAGTTTACTGATTCAAATAGTGAATTTTGAGTAAAAAAATTTGCATGCTATTACAAACAATATTGGGCAAGAGTTCAGATGGTGAGTAAGGCCTGTAGAGCTGACAATGTTAATATAATTTTTTGGCTTAAAATAACTTTTGTTAATAAATTTAATTTTGTAATTGGAACCACAGAATATTAAGCCTATGAAACAGGTTAGTAAAGGAATATAAAATCAAGTGTCAGACTTACAGGCCATAAAATAATTAAACAGTGTTGAACTTGGATACTTACCAAGTAAGGTGAAGATATTCTGAAAGTAGAATCAGAAAATTTTAGGCTTGAGGGTGTTATCCACATAAACATAGACAAGTGGTAACTATTCTGTGCCCCACTTTCTTCATTTGTAGGATGAAGTAATTGACACTGGTTTCTAAGTTACCTTCTAAATTCAGAGTTCTGGGGTTCTGTGAGAAATACTAAAGGGAAGAGCAGTGTAGTCCAGCATTTTCAGACATATGACTTTAAAATAGGCCTTAAAAATTTAGTAGAGTTTCTGAATATTCAGCCGCCTTTAGCTTGGTTAGGTGGATAATGGGGGACTTCCCACTCCCACCCCAAGCCTGCCTTTGCTCTGTAAATGTTGAAAGGGTGTGGTTGGAATTAGTTCTTTGGGCTTGAGTTGTAAATTGGTGAATGGATAGAGACGGCATTAAAAAATGAAGTAAACAAAAGTTTAGGCATTGGCTATGGCATGACCAGATTTGAAGGTATGTTTCATACTATCTATAGGTAAAAGGTCAGGTTAGGAAGAACCTGGAGGGTAAAATACAAATGTTTTAGAAATGTTTCTCTAATTTTACCACTAGATTCTGTGTGAAATAATTAGATACCACATTACAAGATGTATACTGAGAAGAAAAACTAATATAAGAGAAAGAAATAGAATTAAGGAAGCATTGATGAGCAGAGAAGCTGGTTAAACTTGGTACTAAACTGATACCAATATAGGAGCAGTGAAGTGAAGGGCCTTATTCAGGGGAAGATAAAGACCCTGTTGCAGAAGGGGATGCCTGTTAGTACTAGCCCATT